CCTGAACTATAAGAGAACAAATTTATTAGTTAAAACCATACATTTGTGGTATCTCAGTTACAGCTGCACTAAGTATCTAGGACACCATCACTTATTGAGCTTAAGTCAAAACTAACTCATTGCTGACTATTCATTGGATTTCTGTGACTGTAAATTGTGTGGAAGGAGACTGCTCATTTTTCTCCTGCAGAGCAGGATGCAAATGGCCAGAGAAGCACATGGGTTGGCAACTCAAGTCTCTACAAACTATGTCACCAGAGCTCAGTATAGGGTGACATTACCACGCTTGGTTTTCAGAAAACTGAGCTAAGGAGAGAAATCTACTGTTATCGTAACTTCAACAACTTAGTAACAAACTTATACAAAGAAAAATACTCACATTTAGAATAGATGTATTTTTACAAATAATTTCCCCTCATTTTTAAATGAGGAAATATGAAGCTCAAAAGAGATGTGAAATGACACACCTAATGTTACAAAACTCCCAGTGAATTAATCTTAAAATATAGGTCTCCTACTACCTTCTGGCTCACTGCTCTGAATTCCACCAACATAAATACCTGTCATGCCTCAGTAAGATGAATGAAAGTAGTCTAAGAAGTGTTGAAAACCTGTATGTAAATGAGTATATAAGATCAGGTCTGGTGAACAGAAAAGTATATATACTTTTACTAAAATAAAAGAACTTAAAGGAACAGATAAACTTAAATATACTACTATTTATCATCTTCATGACTTTTTTCCTAATACCTCTCTCTAAGTGCTATTACACCCTCTATTAGACAAGTTTATTAAAATTCCAAATAATTTTTTAAATTAAAATCTCTCTTTAAAAAGAAAGGCATTTTCTTTTAAAAGTTTTTTGTGTTTTTTCCCCCATAATCTTGTTACGTAAAAAAAATTGGGAAAGGTGTACGCCAGGGATGTGTCCTAGCTCCATACCTTTTCAACCTGTATGCAGAACTGATTATCAGAGAGGCTGGGCTCTATGAGAAGTGTGGCATCAGGATTGGCGGAAGATCTATTAACAATCTGCGTTATGCAGATGATACAACCCTGCTTACTGATACTGAGGAGGACCTGAAATGCTTGCTGCAGAGGGTCAAGGACTGTAGCCTGCAGTATGGATTGAGGCTCAATATCAAGAAGACAAAGATTCTCACCACTGAACCAATCGGCAGCATCAGGATGGATGGTGAAGAGATCGAGATTGTTAACAACTTTAGTCTGCTTGGCTCCATGGTCAACACTCTTGGCACCAGCAGCCAGGAAATAAAAAAACATACTGCGATGGGAAAGTCTGCTGTTAGGGACTTCGCCAGGGTACTGAAGAGCAATGGTGTCACTCTGGAGACTAAGGTGCGTCTGATACAGGCTATGGTCTTTGCAATCACTTGTTATGGATCAGAGTGTTGGACAATGACCAAGGAGGACAGAAGGAGAATTGATGCCTTTGAGCTGTGGTCCTGGAGAAGAATATTGAGAGTACCATGGACTGCTAGGAAAACAAACAGATTCACCCTAGAAAGGGTTAAACCAGGCTGCTCCTTGGAGGCAAGGATTCTGAGGCTTCATCTGACATACTTTGGCCATGTTGTAAGGAGGGACAGGTCCTTGGAGAGGGACATCAAGCTTGGGAGGGTGGAGGGACAGCGCAAGAGGGGAAGACCCTCTATGAGGTGGATTGATTCAGTGACTGGGGTAATCGGATGGGTGTGTCAGAGGCAGTGTGATTGGCACAGGATAGAGCAGGGTTTAAGGCTGTTGTACATAGGGTTGCTATGAGTCGCAAGTGACTCGACAGCACATAACAATCTTGTTTACATTTCCTTAATAAACATTAAAGCTTAAGTTTTATTGATTAGATCACTGGAGAGCGCCGGCAGTGCCATAATTAATATGGTAACCAAAAGGTCAACATCTGAATTTACCAGCCACTCCTGAGGGAAAGATGTGTAAAGTGGGCTTCACTGAAGATTACAACATTGGAATAGCCTATGGGGTTCTTTCTACTCTGTACTGCTGGGTTGCTGAATTAGAAAGCACACAACAAGTGAGGTGTTTTTTTTATTTTACAGTAACTTTTACATTATTACTTAAATTATTTTTCATAACTTAAATGATTTTTCACAATATATGTTCACTAAAACATTCCCAGAGTAGACTCTCAATTACGAGTAAGAAAATCTAAACAGAAATCTAATGCATATATGCATTAATGAAAACATGGTAACTGATATGCAGTCTTACATCATAAGGTGGCAGTTTCTTGAAGCCTTGGAACCCTGAGATTAAAAATTATACAGTTAATACTGCCATAAGAATGCAGATATCAGGAACCTTATAAACACATGGTGAAAAGATCTTAGTGTTTTTGGCAAGATTTTAAAACAAATGTTTCAATTCCTAGCCAGCTGAAAATGCAGGCTAGGCTTAAGTTTCCTTCTATAGGCTAAGAGATTGAAAATCCATCTAATGTGATTGTGTGTTATTGTTGTGTGCTACGGAGTCAAAACTGACTCACAGCTGTCCCTCCCAGGTTTTCAGAGGCAGTAAACTGCAAAGGAGGAGACTTCCCATTCTTCTCCCAAGAAGGAGCTGGTGGATTCAAACCTTGCCCTAATGTGTTTGTACACAACAACAACCCCAAACTTATTCATTCTAAAACTACAGTAAGGTATGCATGTGTATGGTTATATGTACATATACCACACTAAATGAATATGGTATTCGTACCATGACTAAATCAATGTGTATGTGTCTGTGTGTAGATAAAACTATAGAGATAATGGCAAAGTCCTAAATCCTAGTAATACAATATTGTCATCTCTACTAAGGGAAAATACACAAAGTACGTAAAATATTTTTCAGTTAACTATAACTATGTATTAAGTGCTAAATATCTCAAGAACTCAAGGTATTTGACAAAATTCACTGATTTTGAGTAGGAATGAACTCATAGCAGATGCCCTAGTAGGTTCTCAGAGGCTGTAAACAGAGTGAAAGGAGACTGCTCTTCTTTATTCAGAGAATCCAGGATGGAATCACCTGAGGGGGCCTCCTCTGGGTTCCAGTTCACAGTGCAACTCCTTACCAACTAGTCCACTAGTGCTCCCTACTTAGCACATGGATACAATAATTATTCCATTCAATTTATTTAAACGTTTGCTACTCTAAGAGTCTGAAGTTTCTTAGAAGAGGAAGTGGGGGGGTGGAAATGTGCTTTTGAGAAGACAGTGAATCTGTTCACACACTTGGAATGCACTCTTATTTCACGTTTAAATGTAGAATATGTGACATTCCATTGCATTTATAACGTAAAAATGCATTCGTATACGCTCCAAAAAAAAGCGTTTTGCTCAAATACCCCAATCACTTTTGATGTTACTCTCACTTCCTCTTCTGGAAACCATCATAGCCATTTCCTTTAACCACAATACCACAGGTCTAGTAACTTTCAGTCATGTTTACGTTGCTGATGGTTGGATCAAAGATCATATAAGAACAAATTTTCAAGTTGACTGGAGAGCGTAATTTCATAAAACAGTCAAGTAAATGCTGTCTACAAGTAATACTATCTAAAATGAATTATCCCTAACCTACATAAATTTATATTCAAGGTAGTTTAGCAAATGCAGAGAACATCTTTGCAATGACACCGCTTCGGATACATAAAATGTAATGAACTGCATAGGCATGTGGCAGCTTCTCTCCAACTGCAATGGAGGTAGGGCCAATCAAACCTGGCACCCATGCGAGCATCTGGAGGAGCACAGCTATAGCGAGCCTTACCCAAAATGGGTAAGTATTCCTCTTTAGAAATGCAGTGTCTATATTTTATACTTTAATAAGTATAAAGAAGAATTAATAAGTAACACTGTAAGAATTATGTTAAAAATAAAATCTCCTGTAGTCCTAACTTCTAAGCACTATGGTTAAATAAATAAAAATATAACCATGAAGGTAATGACAGAAGGCACCAAATACACACGGGACATTCTAAGGATCTAGACTGCAAACGAAATCACTTTTTTCTGGGTTCAAATTTGTTTCAAATCTACCCATCTTTTTCAATCGGAAGAAGAATTTTGATGTTTTTCTCCTAAGGCAAGTGAATGCAGTATGTGCTCTGTCTTTACACCTCTTTTTTCTTAATTGCAACTCAGCCTCCCAATTCTTAGATATACGTGCATACACGACTTTAAATGGGAAGATGAGATGCTCAAATTACTAGGATACACTCTAAATCTGAAATACAACCTATTTACAGTTTTCTTTTGAACGCACACCAAAGCTTACAAAATGGTATTTTAATATTATCAGAAAGGTTTGGGAAAACTAAGATGAGGAGGAGTAAAGAGGGTACGAAAAGAAGGCTGTTATTCCTGTTCCCGTGACTCAGAGCCCAGAAGTGCTGCACATGAAAACTGGTTCCACCCTCACTCGCCCCTCCTCCCCACCATCAAAAAATGCAATAATCCCCCATCGTCAACACCCTCAAATGGTGTTTAATGTGGCAGCGGGGAGAGGATGCAGGGTCCATGCTGATGAGCCAGTTCCTCCCCACATTCCCGCACACCAAAAAATGGAGAGAGGGGGGAGTAATCGCCATCCCCTGACAGGGTCCCCCCCACATTCCCACCCTGCGTTCAGTTCTGGAGCAGCCAAGTTTTCCTATTCTCTATAGAACACAGCCCAGCCATCTCCCGTCCCTTTCTGACGACCCCCGTCCCGGGGACGGCGCCCCCTCCCCACGCTCCGGATCAGGCCGCTGGGAACTGGGAAATGGCTTCTCTCTGTGTCTGGTCGGCCGCGAGCCACCGCGGGAGGCGCCCGGAACGCTGCTTAGGCCGCGGCGCATCCCGGCGGCACCGGGCCGGGCCTGACGCGGCGACGCTGAGATTTCTGCCCCAGGCGGCGCCCCGCACCGTCCGGGCCTCCGGCCCCCTCCGCCCCTCCTCGGCCCTCCGCCCGCCGCGGCCTCGCCGGCCCGTGCGCACCTTCTTGATGTTGTAGAGGCGGGTGAGCATGCCGACGCCCCGGTCGTTGAGGATGGTGAGCTTCTCCGCCAGCTTCTGCTGACTGGGCTGCAGCACGGAGCGCGACATGGTGGTGCCGCCGCTGCCGCCGCCGCCGCTGTCGGCCGCCTCGCGCCCAGTCACCGGCTCGCGGCCTCCGCAGCAACCTCTCTCGGGCCTCCTCCCCTCCCGCCCGCGACCTCCGCCTCAGGGAAGCGCGTCCATGGCCCTCGCACCCAATCCCGCGCCGGTGACAGAGCCAGCCGCTGCGTATGCCTCGGGGCCCCTTCCCCCGCAACAGCCCGCGCCCCGCAGTCTTCCGCCCGCCGCCCTTCCGTCCCCACCCCCCGGCGCTTTCCGTCCCAGCCCCCACCGAGCCGCTTTCCCCGGCTCCTCCACTAGGTGTGGCGGCGGCAGCGGCGTCTCCGGCGGCTGAGAACGAGGCCGCTCCCGCAGCCCCGGACGAGCGCTCGGTCACCTGATCTGCCGCGCCGGCGCCCACGCGAGGCCGGACGGGGAACTGCGCCGGGGAAGCCCTCGCCTGCCCTGCCCGGCCGCCGGGTCGCCGCCACTCGGGACCCGGTCCCGACCAAGGCCCCGACCCCTCTACCTGCCCCTAGTCCCAAAATGTGAGCCCTACGTGGGGATCGAGTTAGGTCACGATGATCAGTGCATTTCCCCCCTTATCTCACACCCCTGATCTTCAAGTTCCTAAAGTGACAACAAAAGTTGCCTCTCTGCGCCACCTCCCTTCAGACACCCTCCGGAGCTCTGGGGTGGAGGGGGGATGTTTTTCAGCAGAGTTTCCTCCTGAGAGTGGGCTGGTTGCTCCAAGCGCCTTTCCTCCCCCTGCTTGACAGACGCTCGTTGCAGAACACAGCAGATGTTGTGGTCGACCAGGCGGCATCGCCTCTCCCACCCTCCCATCCCATCCTTGCTCACCCGCACCCTACTCCACCCACTCCCAGAGCTGGTCTTTGCAGGAGGAAGTCGGAGCCTGACCTGAGGACAACTCGAATTCCCGAGATAACCTAAATCCAGAATTTGCCCGTAAGCAGCACTTACCAGGAGCAAAATCTAATGGCAAAGCCCTGCCATATGGGTGGCACAGAATAAATGTTCAATGAATGAATGCTCCAATTTTTGTTTTCTGGCTTCCACCCTAACTTACTCCTTTTAGAAAACGTTTTACTTTTCCATCTCATTTTATTTCCTGGTCGTTTTCTTAGCCACAATCCCCTGGTCAAGTTACACTGCCATGGTTCAAAAAATGAACAAATCTAGAACCTATGAAATTGATTGAATCGAAGATCTCAGTCAAGAAAAGTAGAGGCATTTTAATGTTTTGGACCGTCCATATATTGATTTTTTATATTATTTTCCTTAATTTTACATTAATTACAAAAACTCAACTTCCAAAAAAATGTAAATAAGTTATTATTGTTAGGTGGCCTTCAGCCTGCTTTGACTCATAGTCACCCTATGTACAAACAAAAGGAAACACTGCCTGGTCCTTTTTTTTTTTTTTGCCCCCCACTCTCACTCTACCAAGCACAATGTCTTTCACAAACTCACGCCTCTTGATAACATCCAAACTACCAAGAGAGTCTCACCATCCCCTTCTGGGGAACATTCTGACTGTACTTCTAAGAATTGTTTGCTCTTCTGGCCATTCGAAGTATATTCAGTATTAATCATAATTCATCATTATTAAATGTCAGTCAATTCTTCTTGGTTCTTTCTTATTCATTGTCCAGCTTTCATATGCATATTGTGTTGTTGTTGTTGTTATGTGCCGTCAAGTCATCTGCGACTCATAGCGACCCTATGTACAACAGCCCTACACCCTGCTCTATCCTGTGCCAATCTCATTGCCTCTGACACACCCATCCCGATTACCCCAGTCACTGAATCAATCCACCTCATAGAGGGTCTTCCCCTCCTGCGCTGTCCCTCTGCTCTGTCCAGCTTGATGTCCCTCTCTAAGGACCTGTCTCTCCTTACAACATGTCCAAAGTATGTCAGACGAAGCCCCAGAATCCTTGCCTCCAAGGAGCAGCCTGGTTTAACCCTCTCTAGGATGAATCTGTTTGTTTTCTTGGCAGTCCATGGTACATTCAATACTCTTCTCCAGCACCACAGCTCAAAGGCGTTAATTCTCCTTCTATCCTCCCTAGTCATTGTCCAACTCTCTGATGCATAACAAGTAATTGCAAAAACCATGGCCTGTATCAGGCACACCTTAGTCTCCAGAGAGACACTGTTGCTCTTGAGTACTTTAGAGAGGTCCCTAACCGCCGACTTTCCCATCGCGATACGCTTTTTTATTTCCTGGCTGCTGGTGCCAAGAGTGTTGACCATGGAGCCGAGCAAACTGAAGCTGTGAACAATCTCAATCTCTTCACCATCCATCCTGATGCTACCGATTGGTCCAGTGGTGAGAATTTTTGTCTTCTTGACACAGAGCCTCAGTCCATATTGAAGGCTGCATTCCTTGACCCTCTGCAGTAAGTGCCATCAATTGTAATATGACTCATAATGAATGACCTTAAGAATAGCCACCTTGAAACTTGCCCTATCCTGTGCCATCCTTATCTCTAAGTCACAAGAGCCCATTGCTAAAGACATGGTGTCATTTCATCTCATTGTGGGGGGGGGGGGTGCCTTTTCCTTTTCTGACCATCTTACCAAGCATGAGATAGAGACAGAGACAGACAGAGAGAGTTGTTATTGAGTACCGTCAAGTTGAACTTACTCATAGCTGACCCTCTGGCAGGTTTTCAGAAGCAGTTAATTGAACAGGAGGAGACTGACCATATTCCCCCCACGGAGCAGCTGGTGTCCTCAAACCTTCAGGAGTGCAACCCAGCTTCTTGTCACTAGGCCACCAGAGATAAATGGATGGATGGATGGATGGATGGATGGATGGATGGATGGATGGATGGATGGAAGATAGGTAGATAGATAGATAGATAGATAGATAGATAGATAGATAGATAGATAGAATGTTGGGTGTCATTTTGAGTGAGCATTATAGCTTGCCTTCCAGCAGATTTTCTTTCAGAGGCTGTAAATTGCACAGAATAAGATTACCTGTCTTTCTCTCATGGAGCAACTGATGGGTGCAAATCATATATTTTTGAATTGCCACAGCAGTTATACAGATGATATGACCTTGCTTGCCAAAAGTGAGGAGGACCTAAGCATTTGCTCCAGAAGGTCAAGGACTGTAATCTTCAATATGGATTGAAATTCAGCATCAAGAAGACAAATATTTTCATAACTGAGCTAATTGGCAGCACTATGATAGATGGAGAAGAGATTGAGGTTGTTAATAATTTCATCTTGCTCAGATCTACAATCAACAGTCATGGCGCCAGCAGTAAAGAAGTCAGAAGACAAGTTGCTGTGAGGAAATCTGCTGTCAGAGACCACTCCAAAGTGCTAAAGAGCAACGATGTAAGTCTGGAGACCAAGTTGTGCCTGATTCAGGACATCGTCTTCACAATTATTTGCTGTGCATCATGGAGCTGAACAGTGACTATGGATAACAGAAGAAGAATTGGTGCCTTTGAGTTGTGGTACTAGGGAAGACTATTGAACATACCCATGGACTGCCAAGAGAACAAACAGGTCTATTCTGGAGAGAGTGAAACCAGTCTTCTCCTTGAAGGCAAAGATTTTAAAGCTCAGTCACCCATACTTTGGGCATGTTTCCAGGAAAGACCAGTCCCTAGAAGAGGACATCATGCTTGGAAGGATGGAGGGACAGTGCAGGAGAGGAAGAACCCAAATGAGATGGTTTAACTGGGGCAATGGGGATAGGTGTGTCAGATACAGCAAGACCGCCTCAGGATAGGACAGAGTTCAGAGCTACTGTACTTAGGGGTCGCTATGAGTCACAGGCGACTTGATGGCACATAACAACAACATATGTAGAACCTATATATAATATAGATCGATAGATTATAAAAGATTCAATTGTAGCAGCAATCCTAAAAAGATTTAACAACATACGTAGAACTTATATATAATATAGATCGATAGATTATAAAAGATTCAATTCTAGCAGCAATCCTAAAAAGATTTTAAAAATCATTTTCCAATTCCATTTAATGTGTTCAACAACTCCTTGCCTTCAAGCCCAAACCTACTCATAGTTTGCCCTCTAGAGTCTTTTGTTGTTGTGTACTGTAGATTACTGACCCATAGCTGACCCTCCGGTGGGTTTTCAGAGGCAGTTAATCTCACAGGAGAAGATTCTTTATCCTTCTTCCACAGAGTGGCTGGTGGCCTCGAACCATATGCCTTTAGGATTGCAGTGCAGCATCTTGCCAGTAGGATACCAGAGCTCTGTCGAGTGCCTTTTAGAGGGTGTATAATTTACACAGGAGGAGATTTCTCATCTTCTATGGAGCGGCTGGTGTATTTGAACATCCTTTGAGTTGGCACTGCATCACCTTACTGCTAGGCAACCAGAGGTCCCTTTTTAAACAAATGTATGAAGCACAGTATTAGAAAAAGATGTGACACAACTTTAAAATATAGTTTTTGGTCTCCTTAAACTCTAATTCTGGTGAGGACAGAAGTATGTGTGTATGTATGTATGTATGTATATATGTATGAAGGTCAAAGCAGGAAGAATGAAAAGTCAATGGACAAGTAGAAATATAGGAAAAAATGCTAAAGCAAAAAAAATTACTTTTAAGGATTTGAGGATGATGATTAAGATCATTGGAAACAGTTACTAATTATCCTTCTGTATCTAACATCTTCTGTCCTTAGAAACAGAAATCACATTCCCAGCCTCCTGTGCAACCTGGCCAATGGCATGCAAACATTCCAAAAAACCTTCCCTGCGAAACTTGACACTGCTCTGGATACAATCTTGGGTCATGGAAACAATGGCCACTCATGAAAGATAGTAGAATCTAGGGACATAACGTGTATGTGGGCTTCCTAGAGCAAACCTGCTTACCAAGCCTGACTGTCTATGTCTGGAATTTTTTTTTTCTTTCTTTTTTTTTTTTCTATGTCTGGATTTTATGTGAAGGAGATAAGTTTCTTTTTAAGCTTCTTTTATATTGACTTTTTCTATTACTCACAAACTTGAACCTAAAAGAACGTTTCTGTGGACAACATAATAATTCTAATAGGAATAGATTAAGGAATATGTTTCCCTTCTTAGTAGTGCTTGTGCA